ATGAGCACAGGAGCTCGGAGGAGGCCACCATGGAGCTGACGTGACCTCGGCAAACAAAACATGTAAAGAATGAGAACGACGAGGCGAGCCAATACTACAGAGGAGCTGGACCATAGGGAGGTCTTAATTTTAAGTAGCAATCTTGGTTGCTAGCATATGTAAGATTTGAAGTATCTATCCACCTTTAAAATAGTAGTGTCTAAATACTAAATAATGATTATAGTGATTTATGACAATCAGGTACCGTTTGGTTTAGCATATAAGTGTCTAGATACTAAATATAAGTATCTATCCACACTTTGGTTTAGCAATCAGGTACCGTTTGTTGCAAAGGAACTATATTTATGAGGGACTTCCTGATGATTTAGTGATTTATGATTCCTACAAGTATATAGGAATATTTCAGCTCCATCATAGGAAAAATAATCTGAAATAGAGTTTCGGTTTGACTATCATGGTGTTTACAGTCCATTATTCATGCTTGCTTTGACACTTGTGTGTTAAATCAATGCTTATGTATCTTATTAATGTTGCTCAAAATATCATGTTTGTAAGATCTCCCGTAGCAACGCACGGGCAATTACCTAGTACAAAAAGTAAGGCAGCTATAGCGACCTCAGATTTTTTTTTTGCAGGAAGACTTCAGAAAATCTCGATGCAACCTTCAATTTTATTATGGATCTTTGTTGTTTTATATATTTGCCCAGTTTTTTAACAAAGATATTTTGTTTAATTAATAAATGAAGTCACGACATTTATAGAAAAAGTCAATTTGCCTTCACTTCTTCAGCATACACACGTGTATTTAACAATCAATTTGCTATTCTTTAGCTGACTAAAATATTTTTGACCCTTAACCGACCCTTGGATCAAGGAGGTAGACTGCGATTACACAAAGCAATGACAGGTTTATGTGGCTACACTAGGGAATTGGGGCACTAGCATGTGGAAAATTACCGGCTGCTGCCTCTGCTAGGGGCCATCGGGGAATTGGGGACTGGCATGTGGACCCTGATTAAGAGGGATAACTCTAGAGGGTGGGCTCACACTACCAAGTACAATGGTTAGGATGAAGTTCGGGGACTATGGTGGCTAAGGCGGTAGGGCTAGCCATAGTTGTGCAGATAAGGCATCCGACTGATGCTTGAAGAGGATGAGTCGACAAGATGATGGAGGCAGTGACACTTAAAAGAAGGAAAAAGGAAAATAGATGAACATTATAAGGTGTGAAATCAATATCATGCGGAAAAAAGAGTGAAACGTTGTTGTAAGCTACATGATACCATTTGACTAACGTCGAAGTTTTTAAAGATCTTACATGCACAAACTTGGATAAGCAAAAGAAAAATCCCAAAGAAAGCATGTTGATCATTATTCTTTTGGTATTTTACTGTAACCACAACCCTCATTATACATTTGTTGTTTTGTTTCTTCTTCCTGGTTGATCAGGTGGGAGGCGATACTTGATTACCCCAAACCTAAATCGATCAATCGTTGTGCAGTGAGTGTTGAAGTGTGACTGCTCATATCGAGTTTTCTTTTATTGCTCCAACTAGCAACTCTCTTTTCCATTTAGAAAATGATACATATAAGAAATGCCTATTCTTGTTAGACATCAATGATACTTTCAACTATTACAATTCCTAGTCCTACCTTGGGTACAATGTTACCATAGATGTGGTACCATAGATGCTACTCCGACACCATTACCGACAATACCTCAAACCCTTCCTTTCCTATGTCAACAAGAATGCAATAAGGTCCCAATCAATGCGTGACGGCCTTGGAGGGGCATGGTGGAGTGACCAGTGGCGGAGACAGGGGGACCAGCAGGGGCCCTGGCCCCTCCTAACAACCAGGATTTCAACCTAATTTTCATATAAACAATACATAATTACTGGTTATTTGCTGCCAAAAACTCATTTTTCTAGGATTTGGCCCTCCCCGACCAGTTTTAGCATCACTTGGCCTCCCTGATAATTTTTTCCTGCCTCCGCCACTGGGAGTGACATCAGTCCATACTTGAACGATGCTACATTGAGGTAATTCCTTTTGCTTGGTGATCTGCTAGCTGGCGTGCACCTCACAAATGGGGTGGACGACCGATTGGTCTGGACTTGTGAGAACGATCACTAATTCACGATGAGCTCAGAATATTACGCGTTCTTTGCTGGCCGCACCACTTGGCCTCTTGCGTGCACTATTTGGCGTTCTTGAGCGCCCATGAACTGCAAAGTGTTTGGCTGGCTAGAGTGGTGTGGGATGCCGCATCCGGCCTCTTGTCCGTTGTGTGGGTGTGAGCCGGGGAGCTTGCGGTATATTCCCCTCGGCTGTGTGGTTGCTCGAGAGGTGTGGTCTGTCATTCTCCGTCATTGGGGTAAGTAGGAGTGGATCCCAATGGTGAATATTGTCTTGGTTGATTAGTGGGCGACCAAAGAGGACGTTGGCTTACTTAAGACACTCGGGTCGCAATCCTTCTGGTTGCATGGTGTGGGTCGATGCACAAAAATGATGTGGTGTTCAATGCAAGGGCCCATCGGGCGATGGACATGTTACACAAGGTCGAGAGTGAAGGAGCTAGTTGGAAGGCGTTTAGGCTTATGTACGTGCCAGGTCTTGTAGATGGGTGGGCATGAAGCGACTAGTTAGTTGTAGTTTTCTTTTCTCATTTTCCTTTCCAGTCAGAAGGCGTTGTAGCTGCTGCGTGGCATTGTATCTGGCGTCCTACCCCTTATTCTATGCTACTAGTGTGTCCAGCTTTGGGTGCATCCTCGAAAAAAAGAATCAACTAGTCATCCTATAGTAAATTTCCTTCGTCTTCACCAATAATGGCCTCTCCGGCCTTTTTCTTGAATGACACCTGCATCCTTTTGGAACCCCTTGCCTCAGCCTTCCCACACCTACACTCCCACTCAACCAACCTTATCATACTGGTCTTGCCAATCATGCATGACAATCTGCTATCTAGCATACGGAATCACGTTACAGTGGTTGCCTCCACCGAATTGGATGTTGTTGTGTCTATGTTGCGGGATTTCCAACATGTTGATGTTGCTATTGATAGGTATCTTACCCATGGGATGCCTTTCTCTTCACGAAACACATACCGCCTACTCTTCGCCAAACCAGGCCTCAACGGCAACACCCATCACATATGGACTTCAAGGGTGGCTATCAAGGTGCAAATGTTTGGTTGGCTTATCTTCAGGGATCGCAACAACACAAAAGGCAAACTTGTTCTATAGGACCATTGTCCTAACACCTTTTGTCCCACCTGTGATGCCCACTTTGAAGATGCGACACATATTTTTTGGGTCCCGATAACTGCCACACGTGTAGTGTATCGGGTAGTTGTGCTACACGCCTCGTGTGGCATGGACAGCAACCAGCCCACACATCTACGTGTGGGTAAAACAACTAATGCCCACACATCTCTTTTTTTTCCTCCTGAACCCTCTCACACGCGTGCGTGTGGGCGAAGTTGATAACGCCCACACGCCCGTATGTCAGGCCTCGTACCCTCCTGGTCCCGCACGCCACGCGTGACACCCACCGCGCGCCCGCAGTTGCCATGGTCCAAACCCTCGTCCATGTTCGTTTAACTGCAGTTGCCATGTCGCTGAACTACGGTTGCCATGTCGGACAACTGCAGTTGCCATGGTTGCTCAACTGCAGTTGCCATGTATGGTCTGATCTAATGTAGTTGCCATGATTTCATAACTTTAGGAGTTGCCACATACTAACACTAGGCAGTTGAGAGAGTTGCCATGTGTTCACAAGCATGCTAGGGCAGTTGCCATGTAAAAAGGAAGAGTTGCCATCTGCTTACGTACACGTTAGGGCAGTTGCCATGTACGTGCACGTTGGGGCAGTTGCCATGTACCATGCAAAAACACATGGCAACTCGGTAAAAGAGAGTTGCCATCTGCTTACGTGCACACTAGGCAGTGGCCGTGTACCCTGCAAAAACACATGGCACTCGGGTAAAAAAAGAGAGTTGCCACCTGCTTATAAAGCACACTAGGGGCAGTTGCCATGTGCGCTGCGAAAACACATGGCAACTAGCAGCTTGGGTGTGGGAGAGAAAACGGGCGTGTGGGCGAGATGGCAAATGCCCACATACTGGCCCTTGTGTGTGCGTGCAAAGTGGCGTGTGGCGCGAACTGCTGAACGCCCACACACCGGCCCCTCCGTGTGGTAAAACGAATGTGTGGGCGACCTCTCTCACACACCACACACGCGAGTTGTCCTACGTGGCATACAAAATCAGCTAATTCGTGCCAAGATTCGTGCAGAAGTTACTGGACGGTGATGAAAACGTGTGGGTGAGTTGACTAATGCCCACACGTGTGGGCGTTAACATTTTCTTATTTTTTCTATGCCTGATTGTTGCGCATGTTTGGACCACTCACGGCCTACACGTGCCCATCGCCATCGACCACATATGGGACATTCCACCTCCTCATGGCCTCCTCAACGACATTTAGCCTCAGTCACACTTACCGTTCTTTGAATACTTTGGACACTCGGAACGCCCCGCATTTTTAGGAACCCGTTCTACACACCCATTGTAATTATGAGGAACATCATTTTTGACTTCATTCTCTAAACTGATCACCTTAGGTTACAACACCAGAAGGTCGATGCTATGTCACGGTGGTAATGCCTCTCTCCAAGCACTACGCAACCTTGTAATCTCGCTATTTGTGGTCCTTTTGAGTAATGCATCAAGTGAGGATTCTCCCCCGTGATTGTTCAAAGATTTTTGAAAATGATGTTGCCCTAGTTATGGAAACATCAATCAACCTTCTTTTCCCAAAGAAAGAAATCCCCTGAAAAACAAACATCATTCAACCTCTTTCCCACCCCACCCACCCCGAGCACGTGCAGTTTATATATACGACGAGAGAACTACTCCCCCGCCGGCCCCTAGCAGAGGCAGCAGCTGGTAATCTTTGCATCTCTACACGGCGCCAGCTCCATCCAAGATCATCGTGAATATGGATGAGCAAGATCACGACGGGCTGCGACATCATGAGGCGGCGGCAGAGTCGTCGGTGCCGTTGCTGGAGAAGAAGGCCCGCGGCGTGTTGTGCGTGGAGGGGTGCCCCGGGTGCGCGATTGACCGGAGGAAGGCGGAGAACCCGGGCATCCCCTACAGCAGCTTCCTGTACGTATGGGTCATCACCCTAAGCACCGGTGAGTGCTACTACTACGACTCCATCGATCAACACCGCTAGTTTAGATCCCTGTCTGCATCTTCATTCATTGATGCAAAGTACCTCTTCTGATTATTTGCTTGATTTGATTCTGAAATATATCTAGCATTCATCCATTAATCTATCGCCGCGCGCCATTAATCTATGGTGCACGCTGCATATACATGAACTGGTAGCACATACTCCTTCTATTCATAAATAATATATCCTTCCTAAATTGTAAGACGTTTTTTATTGGCTATAGAGGAAATATAAGATATTTTAGATATTTCATTAATATGGACTACCTAACAGACTAGAATGAATGAACAAACAACACTAAAATGGGTGGAGGCGTTTTGGCTTCCGGGAGCACACACATGAACAGTAAGACGAAAAAATAATAAATGTTTTCAAAAAATTCCGAGTTTTTGTGTGGATGTTTGTGTTAGGGTTGCAAGCATGCTTGACAATTTTCATTCGGAACAGAGCAGCAGTGTTTCGTCGGTGAAATAAACAAATTTGGGGTGATATTTGCGATAACATTTGGTATTCAATGTTTGTTTGCACAAGCCAAAATACTGAACTTTTTTGCCTTAAAATTTGCAGGTAGCATTTGGATGTGACTAAGAATACATAAAAAATTTGTCTTAATATTTTTGACATTTTAAAAATTATTTTAGCCCGGGAGCACGTGCTTCCCGTAGCCGAATTGAATTTTCGTGTTCTGATGGCTATATATATCTTAGAGCATATCCAACAGGTGTGCAATCGTACGGGGCGCTAAATAAGTTTACAGCGCCGGAAATAGCAAATTTTCGCGCACGAGCGCTGAATCCAGCGGCCGCTGTAAAAAATTACGCATGCGCGTCGCTCCAGCAGAAGCACTAAAATATGGTGTGTGATACACATACGTGCGCAAAAACAAGATAGTTCAATATTGATAGTTGCATAGTTCAGCTACTCGTCGTCGTCGTCCTCCTCCTCCTCCTTCTCCTTCGACGTCGTAATGAAGGCGTCAATATACCAGTCATCGTTGGAGTTCCAGTTCGACGCTTCTCCAAGCTCAATGTTGAAGAGCGCGGCCGCCTTCCGCGTACGCCTGTCCTTGCGATAGGCGGCTCACTCCGCCCTCCTCTTCGCCCTCCTTTGCGCGTAGAATTCGCGCTTGTTGACAACGTCCTCCAGGAAGCGTTGGCGCCACACCATCATGGCCTCCTTGTCCATCTCAGCGATGCCAAGGCAGCGCTCCCGCCTCCGGTTGTTGCAACGGTCCTCGTCGGTGACAAACCGCGGGGGATGCGCGAGCTCCTGCGTCCACTCTCGCGTCGCCACCTCGGGGAAATTCATCTCCCTACGAGTCTGTCGGAGAGGCCACGCCGCCGCGTCGTACGCGCGGGCGAGGCACATCTCGCCGGACCGGATCTCTGCGGAGAAGGCGTCGGAGGGACGCACGCGGACACCGCGCTAGCCCGAACTTCCCCGGCGGCATGGTGGCACGGCGGCGGCGAGGCGAGAAAAGATGCGAGAAATAGCGGGGAGAGAGCGGCAGAGGGTGCGTGGTGAGGCATAGAGCAGTGGGAGGGCGCTGGATTTATAAAGCAGGCCGGACGCCGCGCACCAAACTAGCGCACGCCCGGCTTTTTTTTCACACGCGCTCGATCTTTTTCCGCGTGCCTGAATATCCCGCGCCCGCTAGAGCAGGGGAAACCACTCCGCGCGCGCTAAAACCCACGTTTACCGCGTGCGTGTTTTTTACAGCCATCATTGAAGATGTTCTTACGTATACACAGACCGGGTGTGTACTCATTTTGATTGTATTGCACCATGAGTTGGTAAAAAAAATGACCCTTTGTTGTAAAAGATGCATGCAATAATTGCAGCTAGGTATTCGCTGGAAAATAATTCTATGAGACCAGGTCTCATATAATTCGGGTGAGACCCACCCTGATGGGTGACACATGGTATTCATAAATCACAAAGCATCTACACCACCCCCCATCTGAAATCAGGGAGAGAGAGATTAGATGTTTTGTGATTTGTGAATGCCACATGGCGTCCAACAAAATGGGTCTCACCCGATTTATATGAGACCTGGTCTCATATAATTTTTTTCCGTATTCGCTCGCTAGTCTGTCCAATGGTAAACAAGTAACTAGTCGGTATCATACCATATCACGTACTATGATTTGTTTGTCCTGTGCGAAGAAATGAATCTATCTATACTCTATATCTATATCTATACCAATATAAAAAGATCTGAAGAGGCAGATTTAATTAATCTCGGCCATCAAATCATGTCAATCCAACGACCTAAACCGCTACAATGTCGAGTGCTCAACATGTTTAGCATGCAGTTAATTTCATATCAAATATAGTTTTAATCATAATAACACGGAAATAAATATCCTACTATTTAATGTCCGCATGCACTTAATATACTTCCAAATTAACGTGCATTGCACGTACACGGAAATGACAAAACACCTGTAACGTCACATTCTCGTAATCCCATTGAGTTGTACTTGGTGGTCAACACTTAGCCGTGGTGGCATGTGCATGTGCATGTGCATCAGTCATACCACAAAATTTTAAATATAAATTTGATGTATATGTCGAGGAATAAAAAAAAAATAAGCTTCACTATGTATGAGCTAATTCAGATTTTCGCTGTGAACAGTATTCTTAGGTACTATTAACGACATGATTCATCTCTTTTTCTATCTCTTATAAGATGAACATGCATGGTGTTTCACCTCCCTCAAAGTAGGCACTGTCAGTCACTTAGGACTTTCCTGCTGTCAATATGTCGAATTTTTATTTTAGCCTTTTTTGATCATCATCCTAAATTTGCAGAGACTAAGGTATTGCTTATCATGATTGCACCTGTGTGATGCTACATTCTAAGCTAATAAAATCGCCATTTATAAAAAAAATCAGTGTCAATAAAGTTCTTTACTTTTCTTTTAATCTTTTGGTTACCCAATGGCAGTACAGAATAGCATCTAAACGTGTCATTGGCATCATAAGATATCTTTATTAAGTCTATCGAGAACATATTCTATCACGATGGTGCTTTCATGTCACGGGAGCACTTGAAGAAATCATCCCAACTTCATTATATTTTTGGTAGATGAGCACTACAACGACACAATCACACAACAATCAAATAGAAATTCCCTGGGACCAAAAAGATCGCCGGGCAAAACCCACCTTAACATTTCTTCGCATAGCTGCAAAAGCAGCAGTTTTACAATTTTCCAAACGCACGTGATCAAGCTTCCTGGCGTCCCTGTACCTCATGCTGAACCTTGCCACAAGTTCTTTCACAAGCTCACAAAATACCGGGAAAGAGTTTCGCAATTGGAATCGTGGCTTCTCCTGTGATGTAAAGTTTCTTTTGCGAGTTTCTCTGAGGGAAAATTGCAACTGCATATGGCCCTTTCAGTCATCCTCCAGCTCGGCAAAACCCAAGATATTTGTCCTCTCTCCCATGAGGAGGCTGACATCCACCGTAGACTTAAGCGGCGGGACATCAATCTGGCTGTGTTGGAAAGATCACGAAAGAAGCAATGTGTGAGAATTACCAACCTTAAGGAGGGCGACGCAAACCCTAAGTACTTCCATCTGAGAGTCAATGCTAGGAGACGAAAAAACTTCATTCGCCGTTTGTGTGCTAGCCACGAATGGGCTACCCAACATGAAGACAAGGTGCAAGTTATCCAATAGCACTTCGCCTCCTCTTTTGCGAAGGGGCCAACTATGAAGGGCGATTTTAATTGGGTAGCTTTGCCACTGCCCTCTGTGGACCTTTCTTCCCTTGATGAGCCGTTCAACGAGTTTGAGGCCTCGAAGGGCGACAAGGCCATGCCCAACGACAAGGCCACCGGTTCAGGTGGTTTCTTCGGGGCGTTCTTCAAGTCTTATTGGGTTGTTATAAAAGATGGCATCATGGAATTAATTCATGCTTTCTCCAATTTGCACTTTGCTCTTGCACTGGATCAACTCAGCCAATACTACCCTCTTGCTAAAGAAAGATGGCGCCCAGGCTATCACAGGTTTCCGCCCCATTAAACACATCCATGCTGTTACAAAAAGTCATGGCTAAGATGTTGGCCTCTCGGCTTGCTCCTTTCATGAACGAGCTTACCTCCCAAGCCCAGAGTGCTTTTATTAAGATGAGGAGCATCCATGACATTTTTTTTGTTCACAACTATGCTAGAAGGCTCTAACGCACCAAAACCCCAACCCTATTGTGTAAGCTTGACATCAAGAAAGTCTTCGACTTTGTCAGCTGGGAGTACATGTTTGACCTGCTACAGCAACTCGGTTTGCCTTCACATTTTAGAGATTGGTTGGATGCGCTTTGGTCTTCTGCATCGTCCAAAGTCATCCATAATGAGGTTCAGGTCGCCCAATCGCTTACGGTCGTGGGTGGCGTCAGAGCCTTTTCCGCATCTCCTCTTTGTGCTCGCCATCAACCCCCTGCAACATATCCTAGAGACTACCACCCACAATGGAGACTTGCATCGGCTACACGGGCGTGGTCCATTTTTGCGCACCTCGCTCTATGTCGATGATGTCACCATCTTCTTGGCGCCCATCAAGGAGGATGTTGACATCCTAGAACACATCCTCAAAGAGTTTGGACATGTCACTGGCCTACTCGCAAATGTTCAGAAGACCTTGATTGCCACTATTGGATGCTCCCAGATTGACCTTGATGTTGTGTTGGCTAACTTTCTGATAGGCCGATCATATTTCCCGATGAAATATTTGGGATTGGCTCTCTTCATCCAATGCCTTAGAGCCATGCATTTTCAGACGTTGCTTACCAAAATGCGTGCCAAGCTTATTGTTGGAAGGGGGCCAACATCACTCTAGCCGGTCGGAATACTTACATCAAGTCGGTACTCACCTGCCAAGCTATCCATCACCTCATCCCTCTGCATATAAAGAAAGGAGTTATTATTGGTATCACTATCAGTACGATCATGAGGG